CCATGAAAATCTCCATAATTTATTTTAAAATTCTTGTCCCAATTTTTTACAAGTTTAATTAGAATGAATTTACATTCTGATTATTGATTTTCTCAACTGTGTTTTAGTCTTATATTTCTTTATGTGCTTTATAATTTTCACTGTCACTCTCACTTCTTCTCTTTTCTACTCCCTCTTCTATTTCATCCTTTCCTCTCTTTCTTTCTCCCGACTGTCATACTCCATCACAGTTCCCCACCCAGCATTTTGCATTCCTTCTAGCCCACCCTCTGATTCTCTGGTTTGGAACCAGGGAAGACAGTATGGCAGATACCACAATCTGTAGTTACTAGCTGGTGGTGATATCAAGAATATCAGATATATTCACAAAGCCAGTGATTGGTTTGATTCAGCCACTTGTCACAAGGTTGTGTATCTTTTTGTCTATTTTCTTGTCCTGAAACATTAGTGTCTTTACAATGTTTTACACTTACATTCCATTTCTGGTCAATGGAGATATTTACTTCAAAGTGGAATCTGGCTATATCATTTTGTTTCTCTATATATTTCATTTGCCATTATCATGGAGCAGGGGAGTCTATCAAAGGGTGTACCCTTTGTATTACTGTGTTTCCCTGAAAATAAGACCTACCCATAAAATAAGCCCTACCAGGATTTCTAAGCATTTGCGCAATATAAGCCCTACCCCGAAAATAAGACCTAGTGATGGGCGTGGCTACGCAGCTATCTGTACAACCCATGCATTTCATAGTGGAGCAGTAAAGAAGATGAGCAGCCCTTCTCATCTGCCCCATGAGAGCTCTATTGCTTGACACGAGAGATTGGGGCCAATGGTTCTAAAGGAAATAGAGTCATAAGAAATTCAGGATGGAATTCTGGGTTTGGAGAGTTATGATGATGTTCCAAAAGAAGACGACTTAACTATATTTGAATAAATGTAGATTGTTGTACCGTACTTAAAAAAAAAATAACACATCCCCTGAAAATAAGCCCTAGGCTGTCTTCTTGAGGAAAAATAAATATAAGACCCTGTCTTATTTTTGGGGAAAGTCGGTATGTTCACCTGGATACCTGTTTATTAATCTTAATGTTCACTTTTCATCGTCTTTTCATGCCTTGACCTATATTTTGTCTTCTTGGTACTGTGATAATTTTTGAAAGTTGGCTATAGGTCTTTCAAGCTCCTTTTTAATTTGTATGTTGTCTGGCTACTGAGTCATAAGCCTTCACCACCCTTCCAAGAGTAGTTCTATTATTGGAACTGCTAATAATAGCTGCTCTAATAACAATTGCTATGCTTCTTGGTCCTCTGCACTATAATCTGCACCATAGTTTATTCTTCCCTTTGACTCTTCTGTTATGTTCTGCATTTTCCCTCAAATGCACTGCAGGGGAGAAAAAGTAATATTTTTCCTCATCCATTGCTAGGTTCATGACTGAGGCATCTATAATAAAAGCCAGATTAACAAGAAAAAAGTATACAGATTTATTTAATATAAGTTTTATGTGATGTAGGACCCTTCAGAAGTGAAGATTGCTAAAACAGGCAAACCTGTGTATTTTATGCTTAGATTTGATAAAGAGTGGACAGTCGTGGGAAGTATGATTGGACAAATGGGGTAGGACCTAATAGTAAAAACCTGGGGGGAACTTAAGGCTTGTTTGTTCAGCTTCTTCTCTGCAACCCTGTGTCTTCAGAGATAAGGACATTTCTTTCCTTTGGGTATAGGGAGAGCACCTCTGGAATGAGGATCTATGACCTACTTCAAAGGAAGGTCAGAGAATTATTTTATGGCCTGCTTCAGGGGAGAGGGTTGGGAGAAGGTCAGAGAGATCTTGCTTCTGCTGTTTCCTTAAATGCCAAGGTGCTATACATTTTGGGGTAGTGTGTCCTGAACTTCATCCGCACCAGTTTTGATTTTTCTGTTGACTGCTTAAATATAGATCTTATTTTTAAAAAATCTCCATTCTGGCCATCTGACAACAGTGTCTTTGATTTTATGGGATGTGTTCTTGCTAACTGTGACCAGTTCTCAGCTTGGTTATTTTAACTCTGGCAGATGCTGTTGGTGCCTCATCTACATCCTGGTAGCATTCGCTCCAAATGCTAGGGTTTTCTTTTTGCAAACACATATGAAGTGGTTTCTTTGGTCCACATGCAGTGCAAATCAGGCGTTCTGGAGTAGTAATGCCTCCAGAAGGAGTGACCGGAAATACTGGAGAAGATGTGGAGAGTAACTATTAATATTACAGGTTCCTTGCGTCTCATTTGGGATAACTCTAAGGCATATTTTACAACATCACCTCCCAGAGTTCCTTAGTGGGGTTTAGTTCCAGTTGTTTACAGTGGTAACTTACTTGTTACCAGCGTTTATTGGCTTCCTTTCCTTCTGTTTTCCCCTCTACTCTTTTTTAGATATTTCCCTGGATCACTTAACAAATTACTTATATTCTAACCCTTTTCTCTGAGTTTGCTTCTGGGGGAATTCAGACTTAGATACCACCCATCTCATCTATATATTCTGTTTAACTAGTGTTCTTCCATTCCTATTTGGTATCACGACAGATTTTGGCTATTTCTTCTGAATGTTTCATTTGCTCTCTATATACATGTTTTCTTTTCCTATGTGCTGAGCTATGCGTGTACTGGTTAAGAGAAATCACCTTATTTTTTCAATAAGTGCTAAGATTCCAGCAGTGCCATTTAGAAAAATTCTCCCTTATCAACTCCTAGGGCCACTTCCTTTTAGTCTTTCTTGCTTTTCTTTTGAAACATAAGCTGTTAAAAAAATTGTCAGATTCACAGTATAGTCTTTACAAACAGGCATAGTTTGCCGTAGGCATAGGTATAAGACTTTAATTTTCTCTTTCAAAATGGATGCTATGAGTTGGTTGATTTTGCACCAGCAAAGATCTGATTGCATGGTTTGCTGAAGGGTAGAAAACTAGACTTGTTTGCTAGGAGTGAGAGCTTAAAAGAATGGAATGGAAGATGGTGCGATTAAAAACTTAGTTTATAGGAATTGGTGTTTTACCGTACTACTGCGTATCTCCCTCCTCCTGTTCTTTTTGTATAGTGATAAAATTATTTAATGGGTAAGATGATAAATCTTTGTAAATGTATTTTGGGTACATTGTTACAGCAAGTGTTACAGTGTATGGTCCCGGGAACAAACCAAGTGGCACATAGAGAGTAGAATCAAAGTTTATTTGCTGGTGGGCTCAGAGGGATCTTGCCACCAAATTCTGAGCCCCATCTACCCAATTTTTCCCACTTTTATTAAATTGGGGTGGTCCAAGGGGTGGGATATCAGGCCAGGTAATAGGTTACTTGCTGTGTCAGTTAATAGGTCAGTATTATGTTGATGTACCAGATAGTAGGGTAGTTGCTGGGCCAGGTAATAGGTTTAGTGTTATGCTGATGCACTAGATAATAGATTAGTTGCTGGGCCAGGTAATAGGTTAGTATTATGCTGATGTGGGTCTTCCATGAGGGGTGGGGGTCTCAGGTGGCTGATGAGCCAAGTGATAGATGGGGGTTTTCCTTATCAACATAACTAACTTTTATAATGCTACAATTAGCAAGAGCTTCCTTGTTTCCTATTCCTTTGTCTCATTTCCTTTTTTTCAGGAGGGAAGTCACATGGATTTATACCTTAGAAGGAAGGCTACAAACTGCCACACACTGCTCTGTAGGGCAACTCAGTCTCAATAATCAGCTAGCTGAATAAATATCATTCAGAGGCAAAACCACCACCATGCTAATTCACGAGCATGTAGACCCAACTTATTTTTAATCTCTCCCCAGTTGACAATAGGCAAATATTGATACTGGGTACTAAAATCTGTAAAGCAAAAAAGAATGATTTTCATGGCTATTGAATAAAGCCACTGGAGTCAGTCATTGCTTTTTATCTGCCAGTTGTTGTTCCTTTTTCTCTCTTTGAATTGGCTTATTGTTTCAGGCTTTGTCCCTCACTTAGAGGCAATTTATATAGCAAAGAGGTTTCATTTGCATATTCTGTGGAGGAATTCAAAGCATGTTTCCTTGGAAACTTTGGTTGTCTGAAACAGTTATTTACATAAACAATGTTTTCATCAAATCTAATGTTTCCAAAGGAAGGAGAATATTAATAATTTGCCCCAAATAAAGCATGAATTAAAACTAAAATATTTTATCCTGAGATTCTTTGGGATTAGCAAAATTTAATTGCCTTTGTCAACAACATGAAATAATTACAAATAAAACCTTTCATAATATATAAGTGCTTATGTGTTCTGTACATCATACAACAATATCCCTCCTAGCCAATTCAAGACTAGTAGATGGAAAAGTTAATAGCTGTTTAAAGCACACTATCAGAAAAAAAAAAGATAGATAATCTTAAAGAAAAAATATTCATGATACTGGTTAAAGATTGTAAGGCAGGCTTTATTCCAAGGGGGGCATGCATGGAGATAGGGGCCACTGCAACAGGATCCTGCAGTGAGGGAGAGAGATTGGACTCAACTCCCAGGGCAACAAGTACAAGTAGGATTTATAAGCAAGGAGTGAGGGTGGGGGTGGAAAGAGTGGGGGTAGTGGATGGGGTCAGTGCATGGAAAATTACTTAGAGGAAACATGAAGGATAAATGGCATCTGACTAAGCTGACTTCATAGAATTATTGCTGAAGGCAGGCCAGGGTGATTATGTTATAGCCTTACCAGCTTCATTGTCTACTGCTCAAGAGGAAGCCAAGACACTGAGGCAGCAGGAGTTACAGCAGAGAAAGAGTTTAATATTGCAGTTGCCATGCAAGGAAATGGAAAGAAGTTCTCAAATCCAACTTCCTGAGAAATTGGAAGAAAGGGTTTTTAAAGATAGCTTGGCAGGCAAAGGGCTAGGCAATTGGGTCTGCTAATTGGCTGGGTTCAGGGCAGAACCATAGTGGGGTAGAAATCACCTTTTCTGCTTGTCAGTTTTTGGGTAGGGCCATAAGATCAGTTGATTCAGCTCCTTGGTATGGGCCACCAATCTGGGTGGGTCAGCCCGTCCACCAGAATGCAGGGCCTGGAAGATGCCTCAAAAACTGGCCTTAGGTTTCACAAGGGTGATACTATCTGTGGGAGGAATGGAGAAAGCTAGGAATCTTTATGATCATTAGCTGTATGAGTCTTGAGTAGTAAGCAAATACAGGAAAGAAAGCTAGAGAAAAATGGTTGGTCATATATATATGTATATTTCCCCTATCACAGTTCCCACCTTGTGGCCCTTTAATAATTTTATAAAGGTCAGTTTCCATCAGATATTGAGGGTGATCAGATACTGATACTGATAATGAGAGATCTTTGCTAAACAGACTTATCAGCATTCTTGCTCAAACATAATTCTGCAGACAGAGAGGGAAGCCTAGGATTGGACCTAGTCAAGTAAAGGAGTCAGAGGAGACCACTAAAATTTGGGCAAAGGAGAAAGTCTTTGTCAATGCCTAATTCAACATTTTATTTATCTATTTATGTTTTTATTTATTCACTCATTTATTTATTTAGAGACAAGTTTTCACTCTGTTGCCCAGGCTAGAGTGCAGTGGCATCAACATAGCTCACTGCAACCTCAAACTCCTGAGCTCAAGCGATCCTCCCAAAGTGCTATGGTAACAGGCATGAGCCACCACATCCAGCCAACATTTCCTTTTAAGTTAATACAAGTGGATTTGTATCCATTTGCCAATCTTTTGATGGAGATCCAAGACCATTAATTTGGTAGTTCTGCAGAGAAAAGTTCTACATTTTCTTTTTTATATAAAAACATCCATAATGTACTATGTAATTTACAATTTTAGACTTTAAATTTAGACTTGAGAGTCCATGAATTTGCAAAAAAAAAAAAAAAAAATCGAGTGTAACTTCCTTCTAGATTTTTTTTCAAGTCTCAATATTTTTTTACAGTTTTCTTGCCTACACAACAGAGAATATATATTAGTGAAACACATTTATGGAATCTTCAAAGCATTTAACTTAGTTTGCATAACAAACCCATTATCAATCACATTTCATCTATTTGCATAACATTTAATTACATAATTCTAGTGTAGGGTTGGAAAAAATGTGATACATTTGCTCACCCATCATAAGGGTCACAGCATATATTCCTGTAACGAAAGACAGGTTAAGAAGAAAAAAGCATAATACATTTTCTTAATCTAAGTTTTAGGTGACACAGATGTCTTCAGAAATGAAGATCAAAGGCCCAGGGAAAACTGTCCATTTTGTGCTTACATTTGATGAAGAATGGACAGCCATGTAGGAATGTGATTGGACAAAAAGGATATGATCTAATGGTAATAGACTGAGGGAGGAAAACCAGCAAGGCTCACCTGCTCAGATTCTTCTAAGCCTCTCTGTATAGTGTTCCTTCTAGGTGTAGGGTAGGAATCTCCTATTAGGCAAGTTAGGTCAGGGAATTTCTTTATGATCAGTTCCTACACAGAAAGATGGAGGAAGGTTAGAATAATACTTCAAGGTTTTGTGACTGGCTTTGGGGGAGAGTGGTTCTAGTTTCTATGGCCTATCTTGGGGAAGAAAGAAGGATGAGAAGCAGGAAGGCAGGAGAAAGTCAGAGAAACTTTGCTTCTGAGGCCTTACAATCGCCTTTAGTTCAAAGTACTCAGTATGCCAAAGTGCCAACCTTTGGGGTATCATTTTCTGAGCCCCAACATTAGTAACAAGTAGAGCTGATATAAACTGTTTAGGTAATTCAGTTGACTTTTGTGCACTTATGTAAACCAGCTGTTGGCAATAGCCTTTCTTATGACAAATCAGGGATGTCCTCTGCTTCAGTACATTTCCATATTCACAAAATGGATATGTCCTTTGTCTGTCTGAGGTCCCTGATGTTGAAGTTAAAAGCTGTCACTAAGGCCATTCCCAAGGATGAAAAAGATGTATAGTGTAGCTAATGTGTGACCCATCTTTTCATTCACCTTTTCCATTCACCCTGACTTTTCTGAACTTGAACAAGGTATGTATTCTGGCTGATGATTTTCTATAGCACACCCTGTCTGAGCAGAACAGTGAGAGCCCTTAAAGAATAGTTGGCAGCATTCAGGATGCAGTGGACATCAGTTAGTATTTTTCTAATAGGAATGGGGACAGTAATGCACTTTGTTGAGTCAGTCAAATAGACTGAGTCTTCCTTATGTATTTATTATTACATTATGATTTGAGGAATAAGAATATAATTAAGCATGTCTGATCATCATTTTTTCTGATTGGCATAATGAAAATTTATTTCTAGAAAATATAAATAATGCTGTATTTACCTTATGTTAATATATTAATATTATTTTATTATGTTATGTAAAAAGTAATATTTTAATAATGAAGCATGTTTGTTTATAACGCTTTTCATCAATGCCACAAGCCAACTTTCTAAAACTTAAAAAAAAATTTTAATGACTTATTTATTAAATCTTTTTAATGCTTTTCTGTATATCATATTATGTCATAGTACTACAGAAATAAGTCATAAAGAAATTTAGAATAAATACTATGTTTGGTTTATTTTACCTTGTAAAGAAAACAAACAAGTGGACTATGGCTCTTTTCAAATAAACACAAACATTAAACATATACAATGTATTCATGCATCCATTAGAACACTCCCACTATGTCAGTAAATAAAGCACTTTTATTTTTCAATTTAGCCTCTTCCTATTTCTCCACCAAAGCAAACTCAATTGTAGTTTTCTGGATTTTTTTGTGATTTCTGAAGGATCAATTTTAGGCAAAGGACATACACATACTTATATGTATGGGGAATAAGTGATGAAATGAGCTTGGAATCTAAAAGAAACAGGTCTCTTTTTTAAAAAAAGTGATATTGCATTTTTTAAAATATGATATCTTTTATAAAAAATATTGTATTTTTATTTCTCCTGTTTTCCAGAAAATAGTTTTGGTAATATTTTCAAGTTGAAGCTAAAGCTTTAATTCATTCATTACCTAAGCCTTTACCAAGCACTAAGTGGTAGGCACAATTCTAAACATTTGGGATATATCAATGAAAAAAACAGCCAAGATTCTAGCCTTCTTAGAGGTCTCCTTCTAGCAGGGAAGATCAAATTGTAATAATAAACATAAGAAATAAGTAAATTACATGTATGTTAGATGATAAGCACTAGGAAAAGGAAGCAGAGGAGAATAAGGGGTATTGGGAGTTTTAAGTGAATGGTGGGAGCAGAGTAGGCCCTATTTGGAAGATGATATTTGCTCAAAAACCTGAAAGAGGTAGGGGGAACTTTAAGCAGTTACAGGGTGTAGAGGAAACTGACGTAAATTGTAAGGGAGGCAAAAATAATTTTCTCTCTACCCTACTAAATTGTCTTCTGGAATCTCTGTAGCATAAGACGGATTAACAGGAGAAAAACAAACAGAACTTTGTTAATATGTATATTTCATAAATACATGGGAGGAAACTCAGGGAAAGAGTAACTCTTATGGAGGTGGCTCAGCACTCTGGCTTATGTAGCATCTTCATCGAAAAACAATAAATATTTAGAGACTTGACAAGAGAAAGGAAAAGGACTCTGTGTCTCTAGGGGAGGGAAATTGTGGGAAGGCAGATATATGAGAAAGGAATGGTGAGTAAATGTTAGCTAATAAAGTCTGTTATGTAGATTTTTCTCTTGCAGTGGCTATACTGCTAAGGGTCCAAAGTTGTCTTAGTCCATTCAGGCTGCTATAACAAAACACCATAAATTTTTTTTTTAAACATCAGTTTATGCTTATAAACAACAGAAATTTGATTCTCACGTTCTGGAAGCTGGGAAGTCCAAGACTAAAGCAGCAGCAGATTTGGTATTTGACGAGGCTCTTTTTCTGGTTCATAGATAGCTCCGTTTAGCTGTGTCTTCACATAGTGGAAAGCTAGAACTCTGATTTGTTCAGCTCCTTATAAGAGTATTAATATCATTCATGTAAGCTCACCCTCATGACCTAATTACCTCCTTAAGGTGCCACTTCCTAATATTATCACATTTGGGGATTAGGTTTCAACATGAATGTTGGGGTATCCAAACATTCAGATCATAGAAAAAGGATCTAAAGTCTATCTTTGGTGATTAACTTTTGTTTTTCCTAGTAGAGAGGAGAGAGTCTCCTTTGTAAATTTATATCTTAATTTTAGGCAAATGGGGGAAGGGTATCTTAAGGCAATTGAGAAGAAGCAGATACAAGGAAAACTTTCTTAAAGTTTTAAGAAAGTTGTTGTTGTTGTTGTTTTTTTAGCTATAGTCTCACTCTGTGCCTGGGCTAGAGTGCCATGGTGTCAGCCTAGCTCACAGCAACCTCAAACTCCTGGGCTCAAGCAATCCTTCTGCCTCAGCCTCCTGAGTAGCTGGGACTATAGGCATGCGTCACCATGCCTGGCTAATTTTTTCTATATTTTTTTAGCTGTCCAAGTATTTCTTTCAATTTTCAGTAGAGTTGAGGGTCTCACTCTTGCTCAGGCTGGTCTCGAACTCCTGAGCTCAAATGATCCACCTGCTTCAGCCTCCCAGAGTGCTAGGATTACAGGCGTGAGCCACAGTGCCCAGCCTTAAGAAAGTTTTAATTGCTTAAAACATACTTATGCTAAAGTGGCTTTCTTGGGGTAGCATATTCAGCTATCTTTCAAAATCTCTGAGGTAGAAGTACACCTGGGGTGATGGAGGATAGACAGTAAGGGGGCCAGGAGACAGGAGCTGAGTGACTGAAGTGAATATTAGAAACAGAAAAGTTGGAGCAGCATAGAGAGGCATGATCTCAACATTTTAAAAGGATCACTCCAGTTGCTATGCTGAGAATAAAGGGTTTGTGGCCACATGAAGAAGTAGGAAGAGCAGCCTACTGAAATAAAACAGATGAGCAATGATGGTCATCCAGACCCTAGGTTTTACATGGTAGGATTCTGTATATATTTTGAAATCAGATTTCTTAATATTTATATTATTGTATTTTTTAAAAATAGTATTCTTCTTCTTGGCATAAGATGGAAATCATATCTTGGAAAGATTCTACTATTGCTTTGTAATAATTCTAGATACAATTTACTACTATTCTTTAACACTAAAAAGTTTTGAAGATCTATCTTATACTCACACACATAACAAATTATTTTTTTACTGAAGGTGATAGATGATTGGAGATATGGTTCCCAGATTGTACATAGACTAGTTTTTAAGATGAGCTTGGCTCTCTATGGTGTATCACCTCTCAGTGCTTTGAACATAAAAATGTCTATTAATTATAGAAATACTATAATTTATACCATGTTTTAATATAGTTTATTTTCAAAATAAATGTTATAGTTAAGATGTAAAAATATGTATATATAAATAAAGGTATACATATATGTATATACATATGTATAGATATGTACATACATATACATATATGTATATCATCTTTATGTATATAAAGATATACATATATGTGTATATGTATATATGCATATACATATACATATGTATAGATGTGTACATACATATATGTATATCATCTTTATTTATATATGTATTTTTACATCACACATGTATTTTAAATTTTAAAATAGAAATTCTTAAACTAATAATAACTTTACATATTATTTTTTATTACCAAATTATTTGAAATGGGGAAGCTGACATTCTGAAATGTTCTCAGATGTATCTTATAATTTTCCTCTTTTTCTCTAAGTGCCAGTCCTGTTCAGAAATTGAAAAACAAATCAAGTATCACCAACCTATTTAACATTGTTGTCAAAATCATTCAACTTCATATATAGCTGTTCCCTCAGAGCTTTGGCTCCAAATTACGATGAGGTATCTAGTGTTTTGTTTTTCAGTCTCCTACCCTAATCTCTATTTTAGCAGCTTATTTTCTTTCCCCAAATTGAAAGTTATGCCATAACTAATTTATTGCTTTTCTACTGACATAAAGCTATATTGAAAATTTTTAGGTTGTAAGAAGTGATGTGATAATGGAAAAGACAGACTTGGAAACGACTAAAGTTAGTACAAGAACAGGGAGTGGATGCACCATAGTGGTAAAATCCAGTTATTTTAGATACAAATCTAAATGTCCTGAACATTTGTTACATCAGCCTGAGTTTGGCAGCCTAGATCTTACTGATTGTTAAAGAATATGTGCTGAAAGTTTTAACATTTCTTGGATATCAGTAAGCTCATTTTTCCTTGCAAAACTAACGTTTTCTTTGTTGGAATTTTGATAGCTCTTCATGGACAACAAAGCCTCAGAATGATGGTAGAAATGAAGAAGAAATTATTCCCTAGTAAACATTGCCAATTCTCAATTTGTTTCCATGTACTTAGGGGTTCTTTATGTTTTATTTAGATCAATTTACGTTGTCAAATGACATACCACTCACAAATTTTTCTCTCTAGCCAAATCTTTCCCCCGAATAACATATTTGTATATCTATATGCCTACAAGTAGCGAATCC